TGCTCAAATGTTCATTTAAATCATGAAATTTACCATATCTTTCATTAGTTTGAAAATATTCTACCAAAAGGTATAATAATAAGAAAAAAGCAAAAAGTTATTTCCATCGACCAAAAATTTCTTGCAATATAAGATTCTATGAACTTTTAGGTAGTTTTATTCTCTATTGCTTTCAAAGAAAGATATATGCTGGTATTGCTATTATGTTGTAATAATTTTCTATAAATCTTTATCATATATATAACTTACTATTAAAACTATCCCCCTTCTCTCAATTAACAACCAACTTATGTTTGTTTTAAAAAATAATTTTAAAGGTAATTTTGGAATTAAAAAAATTGATGAAACATAAAGAAGGTTCTAGGCTATCATGAAAATGAAAGAGAAGAAAAGTGAGAGACTAAAATTAGGGAAGTAGAAAAAGAAAGAATTTTTTTTCCATTCTAACTCCTTTTTTCTACAGTTTGAATGCCTATACCTATTAGTATGATTTTTCATATTGCTCCATATTTTTTTTATTTTAAAATTTTTATTTATTTTTTACTTTTTTCCTTTTCCAAGAGATTGAAAGATGGCATGCTTAGCTATACTATTTGAATTTTTGCACCAATCAATACAATTTTTAATATTGTTTCATTTTTTTTATTTTGAGACTTTTTTTATTGAGTAAGAGATTGAGAGATGGCATGGTTATGTGCAAGAAAAGTTGTTTTACTTCAAAACATCTATATTTTTCCTTTATCTTTATTTTTGACTTTGATTTTGTAGATTTTAAATGAAATGTAAATTTTTTTATGCAAGGATTGTTGTAACAAACATGCATGGTAAGGACATATGCTTTAGATTTGTCATTCATGACTTTCAAGGTTTAAAATTTAATTAGTCTTTTTGAAGTAGAGAAGAAGAATCCAATATCAAATCATAGGAGAAAGTGGTTCAATAAAAGATGTAAAGTTGAAGGGTGAGCTTGATGACCTATGATAAAGCAGCACACTGGTCATATTTCACTCTTAGGCTTACTGGTGTGAGGCTTCTAAGCACGTGGACCAAGTTTTTTCCCATCTTTCCATCGATTTCCCCAATTCTCACTTTCTTAGGGTTCTTCTGCTCTTTCCCTTAAAGATTCAAATTTCTTTTTTAGAGATTAAATTTTTAATTTTTGATTAGTTTTTTATTTTTTAATTAAAAATTATTATTTGAATGTGATTGGGTAACGATCATTTTGCACGTAAAAGCCGAAGAACTACCTAATTTATCTAAAGAATACTTTATTTTTGATATACCTTATTTTGTCTTCTTTACAGTAAACCTTTTGATGGGTATCTTTGGTTTTTTTTAACCCTGTCCTATAAATGGTAGGATTAAATTTGTTTCAAACAACTTTTAAAAGGTAATCACATTTAAGGGTTTTTTTTTTTTTGGTATAAATGTATAATTTTTGAATAAGTAGGCTATTCCTATTCTTTTGAATTTTGTTAAATCAATACAAATAGAGATAAGTTGCCTTAGAGCTTGGGCTGTGGTGTGGATTTACAATGATTGAATATTATTGTTCTTTTTTTTTTATGATTGTTCCAAACAAAAGTAGTTGAGAGTAAAATGTGATTTCTTAAGGCTACCCTGAAATGTGGATTTTTTTATGTAAGGATTGTTGCAACAAATGTGGAAGGTAAGAATATATGTTTTAGATTTGTCATTCATGACTTTGAGAGTTTAAAATTTAATCGACCTTCATCTAAGTTTTTACTTTGTTGTTCTAATTACTGGTGACTAGTTTTCCTTAGGCTAGACCAAGTAAGAAGAATTCTGTAGAGTCGTCTACAAAAACCTCTACTCTAAAAAATAAGGCAAAAATTGTCATTCCCAAAAAGACATATTGATTTTCCTTCCCATCATTGCTCTTCTAGAAGTCTTGATTACTAAAGCCTAATGAGGGATCTTATTGCTCATTTCATTAAGTTATAAAATTCATTCCTTACCTTTTTTTTTATTCTTTCTTCTAACTCATTCTTCTATTGTTAGTTTTTTCCAATTGAAATTTACATCGTTAAAGAGTTTCAAGTCTCTGGTGCAGATGGAAAAAAAGTAGGTGGACATATTTCAACCCTTCACTTTCAAAGCAAGCTGGAAAAACATCTGTTGCCACTGGTCACGTAAAGCAGACCCTAATGTTAGGTGGTTCATCATTCCCTTGCATGTCTTGCAATAGGTCAATTCACTCTTCTTATTAAGTATTTTAAACCAATTATTGTTATTTTTGTTTGCATTGTAATAATATTGTTTATCTTCAAAACTTGTGCAGGCCATTTGGCTCTAAAAGTGCTTTACAATCTCATTCCAAGGCTAAGCATAGTACTGTAGTGTAAAAATTAGTAGGTCTAACATCTTTGTTTGAATTTTGGTATTTTTAGTATGGATAAGTGGACATGACTTGAGTGAATGTAATTGATGTAGTAGTTCCATTTAAAAATTGCTTTATGTTTGAGTTGGTGGTTTTTATGTCAAAAGAGCTTCATACTTTCATTGTTAAGTTAGATAAAAGATTTTATTTTTAAAAAAGATATTTGGATGACCTTATTTAAGTGAATTATGTGTTTTTTTAGTTGATAAATTGTTATTTGTTTGAGAGTAGAAAGATGAGCAGTGTGGAACAAGTTTGTAAAGATACAAAAATGACAGCTAAAATAACGAAGTATTGTAAAGTACGTTGTTCAAAAAAAAGGAAAAGGAAAACATTGTGGAAAATATAAAGTATCATTTGATTTTGCCTTTTTATAACCTATAAAATTGTTGATTTCTTGTCCTCTAATAAATCTAGGTAGTTTGATAATAAGGATGGCTAATACTAAGCTTCAGTTTGAAATGGCAATAAGAGATTAAATAATTTATAACTAAAAGAGGCACAATGGAATCTTTGGAATTTTTTCATGGGTTTGGGACTTGATGAGAAACAAATATTGGACCTTGTTGCCAAATAAGGAATAACAATTGAAGATTGACAATGACATGCTAACTAGGGCTTTCAAATAAAGAGAAATCACCCAAGTTTGGGATCTTGAGGACATGCTTCTCTTGGTTATGGTCTTTTTTTTATCAATTAATGGCATTCAAGATCATCTTGCATCTATTAGAACTTTTAATATGTTTCTTCAAAATCATTTTTCTAGAAGGCTTCGGGATCTATCTTTTACTTTTTTAAAGGAAGAACACCATAGTTCCTATTACTTCTAGCTCATGATAACTCTCTATATGTCAGGTATAGGAGGAGTAGTGATAACTGTGTTGGTAAACATCTAGTTTCATGGTTTGGCACTCCTAATAAGCTTTTTTGAGATTGTCGAATTCATATCTAGAGATGATTATTCCTGCTCCATCATTAGTGAAAGCTATCTATTTGCTCCAACTCTCTTATGTAGATTTTGGACAAGGACAAAAGGTAGGATTCAGTCATTGCTCAATGGTATTTTGCATTATGTTTTCCTACCCTTCTTCATTCTTCTTCTCAAGGTTAAGACTATTAAATGAAGTAAATATTTAGAATGATGATTACTGTAGCATAAGTTCTAAAACTTTTATATCAGATTATTCTTTAATGGTTACGCAATTTTCATACTTTGACTCTTAAGTTATTTTGTTACACAGGATATTTATGAGGCAAAATCTATATAGCAAGGGTCATCATGTTGGGATAAGGAGTAACCAAGACAAGTTAAAAGGAGCAATAGTCGGTCCTAGTAGAACAACTAATGGTTTTTTAAGATTTATTCCATCCGAACAAGGCTTGGTATAATCAACAATTTAGTATAATCCTTATCATCTGATAAATTTAGGTAGTCTGTTACTTTTACTGATTTGGATGTATGGCTCATTTTAGACGTAATTTACGCATGTGGTGGTTGCATTATAGTTTTAGTCTTCTTTTAACTTATAGTCTAGCCTAATGAAACCTACAAAAAAAACATAGATACAATTCTTCTTTTATTATACATTTTTTAATATTTAAATTAATACACAACTGTATTTTATTCCTGCATGCAAAGCTACGAGTTTGAAACCTAGTGAATATAAAATGAAAAGGAACAAGAACTTAAAACTTTGATTTATTCAATTTACAATAAATTAAATGGTAAAAAAAATTTAAAGCAAATTAAATTACCAATCATTGTAAATTGAGAAAATAGTGTTTGGAGTTTACATGATATGATTTTTTTTAAAAATTGCTAATATACACTTAAATCTTTTATTTTTATGTTTACTTAATTGAAAAGGTATTATACATATAAACTCTTTGAACGTGTAACTTTTAAGTAAAAAAAGAAAAACCTTTAAAATTACATGTTTCAAGGATGAGTTTCCATTTTCTAATTTAACAACTAAAACAAATATTAACTGGATAATATTTTAAAAATAAAATTTTAAATACATTAAATTAATGTAAGGAGTGCATTTCTATAATCATTTGAAAAAAAATTGTGTTTTACCAAAACTTAAAGATATCTTTAAAAAAATCAAAATTCATGTTCACATATTTTTCCTTTTTATTATATTTATGTTTTGTCATTTATTTATGGCATAATACTAATTAATTCAAAAGTTAATGTTTTAAATGAGGACGACAACTCACAATAACAATATCCTAAATAAATTAAAATTTCAAAGATATTTTTAGTCCAAAGTCGTCAATCTCATTTTTGGACCTTGTGTATTGGACTAAAAAACATTTCGTTTTTATGTATTATTTAGGATTTTAATATATGTTTCCAAATATATATGAAATATTTATCATATACTTTGAAATTGAGGTTAAAAAAAAAAGATTTTATTTGTCCTCAAATCCAAATATTTTGAGTTGGGTGGCAGGCCACTCGTGTTTTGATTGTTTGAGAGTAGGAAAGAGAGATTGAAAGTACATGGAAGGAGCGAAAGGTGCAACCTACAAATTTACTTTGGAAGATATACATGAACAAATACAATAAAATAAAATCAAAGGTTGGCATTACCATTTTTTTATTGGTTGATTCCATTTATATTCTATGACAAATTGTATATCCCACAAAGAAAAAAAATTTCCAGACTCTTTCCTAAATCCATGAGATGCCGGTTTAACTTGGCTCCCATAAATATGCAAAGGAGTAGACAGCATGAAAACTCTGAAAGTAAAACAGAGAAACAAACTTGCAGTTATCTGTTAGCCAAACCGTACGTTTCTTCTTCTTCTTCCCTATTCCTGCTTGTGCTTTTTCGTTTTTATCGTATTTAACAAGCATTCTCTTGAAATAGAAATCCTGGATAAAACCCTGATCAAAATATCTGTCAGGTTCTGCTCAAAACATTCTTTCTTTATTTTGATTGAATTGAGCGAATCCTAATTTGATTGAGGGAAAAAAGAAGATTGTAGAGATTGGCAAATGGCGATAGAATACGAGCCCATCAAGGGATGTGCGGATGAAAAGCATTTGGGGATGAATGTTGGCAATGCTGACAAAATCGAAGATCATGATGATGATGATGATGAAAATAAGGAATTGAGCCAATTGGAAGTTCAGATCTCTGAGGCAGTCGTTGCCAACTCAAGACATCTTCCTCTCCACCATCAACAGCCGCAACGAGCACAGCAGCGTCTTGTTTCCTTGGACGTTTTCCGGGGTCTCACCGTTGTGGTAAAATCTCATTTTTGCCTCCGTTAGATATCGTTTCGGTTATTCCTTATGGCATTTGCACCCTGAAATTACTCTTTTCGTTCACTCAACAAATTAAATTCTGATCCAAATACATAAATGCATTTATTTCCTTTGAGATTTCATCGACCAATACTTGAACCACCTCCCGCATATGGATGGAAATCTTAACGGATTTGAGATTTCCTTCCAACTTTTTGCGTTGACCAAAACCAAATTATAAACAAAAATTGAAATCCAAAATAAAAATATATTGCTTTATATTTGTACGGCTCAGGAATTCTTTAATTTAAGGAAAATAGTATAAGTCTTGCACTTTTATCTAAAATTTTGTACTTTTTTTTATAAAAGATATGATATGTAATTATTGGTTTGATTGTAATATCTAATTTATGAATTAATTGACTTATAATGAATTGCTAAACTCATATTTGAATTTATCCAATAATCATATGTTATGTCAAAGGATTGGATTACGTGTACTTGCCATTTAAGCCTTTTGTTGAGAAATGGATAGGTTGCATTCACACTCAAATCCCTCTCATGATTATGATTGCAAATTAGCAGTTGGGTTTGGTAGTTGCTTTGTTAGCTTTCCATCTTTTAGTCACGTCTGAATGAAGGATCCGATCTGATTCCTTCCACTTGTTTCAAGTCGGTGTAAGATAATTTTCATGGGAAAAATGATACTACAAGTAATCATCAAGTGATACCAAGCTGTAGGTGATACCAAATAGTCTAATAATGTTTATTTTTTTTAATAATCATTAAAATTGAAAGTACAACAACAAAATTTAATAAAATTAAAAGTTTAGTAATAAAATTCAATGAAATTGAAGTATGGTGACAAAATTCAAGATTAACTCATAGTATAATGAAAAAATTAATTTTTATCCCAATAATTAATTTTCCTTGAAAATTACTCTGTTGAGTATGTTAATTTATTGCCCAAAAGTGGCATAGAGGAAAACTATTAAACAGGGAAGATATATAATCATATGCATTAGAACTTGAATATAAAAATCGAACCTTCCTATCAGCTTACTTTTAAGTTTTTGATGGGAACTTTAACACAGTATGATCAAACTATATGTCTCACATTTCAAACTTTAACAATGTGCTACAGAAAAAGATTGAATTAAGATGGTCCATTTTGGCAACGGACTGTAGGAGCTAATTCTAATATATTAGACATCTTACTCTTCAAAAGCAAATTGATATTTAGACTCAAGGCCATTTAAGAAAATTGCAATGCATATTCTATTTTCTAAATATAATTTATGCTAAAATTTGAAAACTTGTGATATAAGCATTTCAGTATTTGCATGAAGTTTCATTTTATTTTATTTTTTCATTTCAGCATTACGTTTTTTCAACAGTAGGGATATTGCTCCGATCATTTTAAGCATATATTTTTTATTCTTTCATTTTTGATGCAGCTAATGATACTTGTAGATGATGTTGGTGGACTTCTTCCTGCTATCAATCATTCACCATGGAATGGTTTAACTCTTGCAGATTATGTCATGCCATTTTTCCTCTTCATTGTTGGTGTTTCACTAGGACTGACATACAAGGTACCAGTTTCATCCAGAATGTATGCTTTTCGATTCAAAGCACTCAACTACTTGTAACATGAGGTTAATGGATCCTGCTATTTTCCATGCTCTGTTAGGAAGCAGAAAAGCTTTTGAAATGTGCTTTCTGTACCTCAGGTGCCATCACTACTGCCAATTTTTTAGCACTATTGAGTAACAATTTGATTCTTTGCACAGAGAGTTTCCTGCAGAGTTATGGCAACTAGAAAAGCAATATTACGGGCATTAAGGCTTCTGATGCTAGGCCTTTTCCTACAAGGTGGCTCTTTTTGCGTTTAACCCTTACCACATATCATGGCTGATAGATAATATGCCTTCCTGTTACCACACAGAGAAGTGACCTCTAACAAGAAATGGTTCTTCTGGGTGTTTGAGTAATCTATGTGCTGCGATAAATGCATCTCATGGGTATTTATTGTGCTAACTTTGATAAGGTTTTGTCTCATAGCCTATAATTTCTGATCACTGACAGGAGGCTTCTTCCATGGGCTCAACAATTTAACTTATGGGGTGGATATTCAACAAATGAGATTGATGGGCATACTGCAGGTATGCTTTCTCACAGGTTTACGCCAATTATTTATTATGACAAGTAGAGTAATGAAAGGAGGTGTTCTAAGCTGGTTTATTGTTTTCTCCCTAAAATAGAGTAGGTTAAACAAGAGAACTGTGTGCTAAGTTGGCTTTTTAGGTATTCTATGACAGCATGTCCATTCTTTCTTGAACTTCTTAGGCAAGTTTAAGGTACAATTTCTTTAGGAACGAAATGGGTTGAGACTTAGTTTTGGAGTTTTAGGTAATGTTAATTATTTATAGTAGGATAATATATTATTCTTGTTTTGATTTTTGCCGGCCTCCGTCCCAGAGAATTGCAATAGCATATTTAGTAGCAGCAATGTGTGAGATTTGGCTGAAGGGTGGTGATCATTTAACATCAGAATTAACACTGCTGAAAAAGTTTAAATTTCAATGGTAAGCAATTTTCTAGACACATGGTGACTCATAATTTATTCTGATATTAATATACCATTGACACTTGATTGTAGCTTTATTATGCAGTCTTTTATAGTCACAGTTTTTTTTAGTAACTCTTTTACAAGCACTGTTAAGTTTAATCCTTTTTATCTGTCATAAGATATGCATTTATGTGGAAAGGTTAACGTCAAGTCTTTTTTTTTTTTTTTGGGATAAATATTATGTTCATTATCCAAGAGAGCAGTAAACTGCTACAAAACAAATGTACGGCTGTTCCAGTATTTACATTTCAAACATATCTCTACTTAACTCCCAACTCTCACTCAATTCCTGATTTACATGATCAAACGCAACACTCTTCAGCCCCATTACTCTTAACCTGACTATCTCTTTGATTTGCTTTAAAATCATCTCTCCTGCTAATGCTTCTGACTTGTATATTCTTCTATTTCTCTCTGCCCATATCCTGTCAATGTATGCTTCCCAAGCCAACTGAAGCATAATGGAACCAATGCCTTCCCTTTAAGCTTGGCCACAGCCCACTGAAACTCATTTTCCCATCCAGCTACTTCTCGTCTTAGGTTACTTAGCGACAGTACCTGCTTCCATACCTTTTTTGAGTAGCTGCAACTGAAGAAAATGTGGTCGCTGCATTCTTTCTCTTGCTTACATAATACAAAAATCTCATCTACAGAAATCCCCCATGTAATTAATCTGTCCTTAGTGGGGAGTCTATTGAGAATGGCCATCCAAGTTATTATAGCAAACTTGGGAATATGTAGCTTACACCAAGCATGTCTGTGCCATTTTACTTTTGGCTGCCTTTGTCTTATTTCGTCCCACACCTTAGCAACTGAATAACCTGACCCCTTGGTTTGCCATATCACTCCATTCTCCATCTGCAACAAGAATCTAGTGGCAATATTTCTCATTTGCAGTAGCTTCCTCATACACCAGCTTTAACCCTGTGCTATCTGTAACTCCCATATGCTCTTCCCTTTAAGAACATAGCACTGCACCCATGCTATCCATAATGAGCGAGGTTGTGTGAAAATAGACCATAGCAATCTAAGCATGCAAGCTTTGTTCCAGCTTTCTACATCTTTTAGTCCTAAGCCCTCCTCAGACTTGGGCTTACACACTGTCTGCTACTTTACTCTTGCTCCCTTAACTATACCTTCCTTACCTTTCCAGAAAAAAAAACACAGCATAGCTGATTAATCTTTTTAATGACCCTTTTAGGCAATAGAAAATGTCTGCACCAATAATTGTGTAGGCTAAATATTACAGACTGAATGAACTGCATTCTACTAGCATAAGATAGATGCCTTGCTGCCCAGTTGTGTATTTTGGCTGTGATTTTTTCAATTAATGAGGTGCAATCTGTCATGGTGAGCTTGCGTATGACCAGTGGCACTCCTAAATATCTGACAGGGAGAGAACCCAACTTAAAACCTGTTGCTTGTAAAATTTCTTCTAGCTCTTCTCTTTGAATCCCCGAGCAAAATATCTCACTTTTTACACAATTTAATTGAAGTCCAGAAAATGTGTAAAACAGCTGTAAATCATTTTGGATGCTAAGAACATAATTCAATTCCCCTTTTGTGAATATTAGTAAATCATATGCGAAGCACAAATGTGTCAATTGTATCTTCTTGCACTTTGGATGATAGGAGAATATACCATATGAGCCTGCAATGTCTAGTAACCTTGATAGCACGTTCATTACTATCACGAACAAGTATGGTGACATAGGATCCCCTTGTCTTACTCCCTTGCACCTTTAAAGTATCCCACCAAACCTCCATTAATAGACAGAGAAAACATGGGTGAAGTGAGACAGCTTTTGATCTAGCCTACAAATATTCTCGGAAAGCCCATTGCCTTAAGGATAGCAAGCAAAAACTCCCAGTGTACAGAATCAAAAGCTTTCTTTAAATCCACCTTTATGGCACATCTTTGGGAAAGCGTGGTTCTATTGTACCTTTTCACTAATTCCTGAGCTAGTAGCACATATTCGGTAATGTTTCTTCCTTTTATAAAAGAACTTTGGCTTCTGCTAATAAGATTTGGCAAGTACCTTTGCATTCTGCTTGCTAGTATTCGAGTTATACCTTTGTAGATAACAGAACAGCATGAAATTGGCCTGTAATTCAAAATGCTAGTTGGGCTTTGACATTTAGGTACTAATGCTATTATAGTAGAGTTAAAGGCAGGTAACAAGTCTTGAGTGTTGAAGCAATACATTATTGCTGCTGTTACATCTCTTCCTACTATACTCCAAGCTGATTTAAAGAATTTTGCGTTATAACGATCTGGCCCTGGTGCCTTATCATTGTGTTGGGAGAATACGCCTTCCTTTATCTCTTCTACAGTTACATCTTGGGATAAGACTGTTTGTTGTTCTTTAGTCAAGTAACCTTGAAGAATATATGCAATTAACCCCTTTGAGCAGCCTTCAACTTTAGTATGCTCTGTTCCCGACAGTTTTTTGAAAAACCCCACAGCCTCTGTTGAAATCTGAGAGAACGTATCCAGCCTTCTACCCTCACTGTCATATAACACCCTAATAGTGCTTCTTTTTTGCTTGACTGCCACTGTTTTATGAAAGAACCTTGTGTTTTGGTCCCCTTCTTGTATCCATTGGATCTTGGATTTTTGTTTCCACAGGCTCTCCTCATATTTCAGCAATTCTTGAAGCTCTAGTAAAAGCCTCTTCTCCTTTTCAACCTCAACACTTGATGGTTGCATTAGTGCTGCAATTTGCGCCTCTGCCAGTTCCTCTCTTTTCCTTTTAACTTTCTCTATCAAGTCACCAAACTGTATGAAATTGAACCTCTTTAGCTCTGCCTTTAATCTTTTTAACTTCTTGTGCAATATAGTTATAGGTTTCCCAGTGGTTTGCACTTTCCATGACTCTTCTACTATCTTCAAAAAATTTGGATGCCTTATCCAAAAATTGAAGAACTTGAATGGCTTTGGTGGGGATTGCCTTGGGACGTTCAACTCAATCAAAGCTGGGCAAGGGTTTGAAACTTCAGGTGGAAGGAATTCAACTGTCGAGTTTGGCCATTGTAAAAGCCATGCATCATTAATTAGAACTCTGTCCAACTTCCTAGATAGTGTATGGTTACTCCATGTGAATAACGGCCCCGTGTACGAGTGATCCAATACAGCTAGCTTCTAAATACACTTCTGCAATTCTTTAGTATTTGAGCTTGCTATTTGGGAACCACTATCGTCAGAACTTTCCATGGGATGGGCTATCACATTGAAATCTCCTGCTAATATCCATGGGTTGCTATCAACTACACTTTGGAGTGAGATCAAATCTGTCCATAATCTTCTTTGTTCTCCCTCACTGTTGTATTCATAAATGGCAGTAAGATATATGACTTGTGTCCCATACATGATTTTACAAGTGATAGTTTGATCACTGTCTGTGACTAACTCCACATGCAATTCAGACTTCCATGGCAGCCATATTCGACCATTATAAGCTGTAGAGTAATTATTGCAGAGAGACCAACCAGGAAAATCAGTGTTCAAGACTTGCAGCATATTCAAGACTTGACTGCCACCGTTTTATGAAAGAACCTTGTGTTTTGTTCCCCTTCTTGTATCCATTGGATCCTGGATTTTTGTTTCCACAGGCTCTCCTCATATTTCAGCAATTCTTGAAGCTCTAGTAAAAACCTCTTCTCCTTTTCGACATCCATACTTGATGGTTGCATTAGTGCTGCAATCTGCAACTCTGCCAGTTCCTCTCTTTTCCTTTTAACTTTCTCTGTCAAGTCACCAAACTGTATGAAATTGAACCTCCTTAGCTTTGCCTTTAATCTTTTTAACTTCTTATGCAATATAGTCATTGGTTTCCCGGTGGTTTGCACTTTCCATGACTCTTCTACTATCTTCAAAAAATCTGGATGCCTTATCCAAAAATTGAAGAACTTGAATGGCTTTGGTGGGGACTGCCTTGGGATGTTCAACTTAATCAAAGCTGGGCAATGGTCTAAAGCTTCAGGTGGAAGGAATTCAACTGTCGAGTTTGGCCATTGTAAAAGCCATGCATCATTAATTAGAACTCTGTCCAGCTTCCTAGATAGTGTATAGTTACTCCATGTGAATAACGGCCCTGTGTACGAGTGATCCAATACAGCTAGCTTCTAATACACTCCTGCAATTCTTTAGTACTTGAGCTTGCTATCTGGGAACCATTATAGTCAGAACTTTCCATGGGATGGGTTATCACATTGAAATCTCTTGCTAATATACATGGGCTGCTATCAACTACACTTTGGAGTGAGATCAAATCTGTCCATAATCTTCTTCGTTCTCCCTCACTGTTGTATCCATAAGTGGCAGTAAGATATATGAATTGTGTCCCATACACGATTTTATGAGTGATAGTTTGATCACTGTCTGTGACTAACTCCACATGCAATTCAGACTTCCATAGCAGCCATATTCGACCATTATAAGTTGAAAAGTAATTATTGCAGAGAGACCAATCAGGAAAATGAGTGTTCAAGACTTGCAGCATATTCTGCTGCTTTATCCTAGTTTCTAACAAACAGGCTACATCAACTTGAGCTCGCCTAATCCTACCTACAACCTCCTTTTGCTTCAGAGGAGCATTAAGCCCTCTGACATTCCAACTAAGGATGTTCATGAGGAAAGAGAAAAAGAGGATATACCCTTAAGGTAGATAAATCTACCTTTACTTTGTTTTTCCCCTTATCAATAGGTCCTCATTTCTTATTCTTCAACTGCTTCATTAAGTCTGCAACTCCAGCTGATGCTAACCTCACTTTCCTTGGTGAGTTGATAACTGGCTCAACCTCTTTTGTCTCTTGAGATTCTGCCTTCGCAAGGTCCACTTGAGCATCATCATTCATTTTATCATTCTAAACAATTGTTTCCAATAGAGCAAATCTATTTGCTGAAGCAAAATGCACAACTTGTTTTGCCTCAATTCTGGCATTTTCCAATGCAACCACCTCTTTTTCTTCTTTTCTCAGTTCCTTCTTTGGCTCATTATTTTGTTTCTTTGGCTGCCACACCTTTGTTTCATTGGCTTATTTATACAAACTTTATCTGAATGCCCAAATATTTTGCAGCACTGACACGGTGGAGGCATCCATGGTACCTCTACCAATACTGAAACAAGTGTTCCATTTCCTAGCATCACATCTATAAATCAAGTGACTTTAACATTTACATCCATCTCGGCACAAATCTTTGCATAAGCTAGCTTCTCACAATTTGCTGTAATTTTATCCATGTACAGTGGTACACCAATGGCACTCGCTTTATAGCTTAGCCCTTTCTGTGTGTGTAACTCCAATGGCACATTATTCAGATGTATCCAAACAAGTAACCTGTTCATCTGAAACTCCAAACTTTTCATCCCTAGTTCCCATTTTTGAACTATGATAGGCTTGTTCTGAATATGCCAAGGCCCTAATTCTAGTACTCTATCACGTTCAGCTTAGAAGAGAATTGCAATAAGAACAAGTTATTCCTTGCTAGTTTGATCATAACCATTCCCTCCTTTCCCCACAAGATACTAACTAGTCACTGAAATTGGCTAAAGTTAGGTGCCTTACCAATAAATTGAGCCACTAATGAGTTTCGCCATTGATGCACTCCTTCTTCAAAAACATCATCCGATGGCTTCACCAAGATCTTTCCATTTTCCTTTTATGGGGGAAAAAAATGCAGCAATTGATCTTTTGACACCGAGAAAAGATTTCTCCAATCTGCAACTATCTTTTGCTCAAAAAGCTCCATCTGTGAGGCCTGCATAGCTAGTATTCGATGATCCTTCCATGTCTACCTCCCAGATCAACAAGATGATAAAAGTGAGAAAATGAGCGGTTTGCCAAGAAAATTGGCGGCTAAGAAATAAAATTGACAGTTTAAAATGAAAAAGATGACAGTTGGGTGAAAAATTCTTCAACGCAAGAGAGACCCACTCACGTGAGTTGAGAGAATTTTCCCCATCTTCTCCATTCACATCAAGTCTTTGATTAGTTTAAAATGTTCCATATTTTATCCCTCTCATGAGAGGTTCATTTTCTTTTACCAAGATTCTTTAGGTATGAACCCGGAGCTTAGCTTAGTTGGTTCATGCAGCTACTCTTAAGTTTTGTCATCTAGTAACAGGTTTGGAGTTTGAATCTCAACATCTGCAACTTCTTCCCTTAACCACATGATGCATTCTCTTTTGTATCAAAAAAATTTTTCTTTAGATGTGCATTCTCACAGTTCTTGCTTAGTTAAAAGTGTTTACCGGTGTTCTATCTCTCTTTCTTTCTTTTGTCTCTCAGGGTTGCAGCTTTGGTGCTTACTATTATATATATTTCCTTGTTATATGGTTTGTATGTTCCCGATTGGGAATATCAGATTCCAGATGCAACTTCTTCCTCAGCACAAAAGATTTTTTCAGTTAGTTCCTCTTTTCTGCTGAAAATTTTTCTTTCTAGATTAACAATTATGTAGATTATAGCAGAGTTTGAGGAAGGAAACAGGTGACTAAGCAGTCTTCTTTTTTCCATTTCCATTCAAAGGTGAAATGTGGAGTACGAGGTGACACTGGACCAGCTTGTAATGTGGTTGGAATGATTGATCGTAAAATACTGGGTATTCAACATTTGTACAGGAAACCAGTCTTTGAGAGAACAAAGGTATCTCTCCTTTCCAAAAGTAGTTGCTTACTGCATCATGCGCCATCCTTAACCCAAAATTTTCCATTGATCTGTACTATTTCTCCATTTCAATAGCAATGCAGCATCAACTCACCAGATTATGGCCCATTACCTTCTGATGCACCTACATGGTGTCAAGCCCCATTTGATCCCGAAGGACTTCTGAGGTTAGTTTACAATTTCTTCCTCACCCTCTGGTGTATTATCATTTTTTTTTTTTTCCACTTATCAATGCACTGGGAACACTTAGATGGATATTATATCCATTTGTACAGGTAGAATTGTATCTGATAGAGTAACAATGAATTATATGCACTATTGTATGACCACATTAAATGACAAAACATGAAGAAGTCGACAAGATATGGACTATTCTTGCTTTGCTGCTGTGCTTTAGTTGCATGTTTACGGATTGACCTTGTATTTTCTGGTTGTAGTTCAGTGATGGCGATGGTTACCTGCTTGGTTGGTTTGCACTATGGGCATATAATTGTCCACTTTATGGTGACAAATTTTCTTTTTCTTTGACTGCTTTTCTTTTTCTCACTGGAATTTATCAATGAACCAGTGTTATGAATGTAGGATCATAGGGATCGGATTCGTCTTTGGTTGATACCATCTTCAGCTTTTCTAGTCTCGGGGCTTGCCTTGGACATTTTTGGTAAATGTGTTATTTATACTCTTCTAGTAGTGGCTGCAGTACTAGTGCAATGGTAATAGTTTTTCATCATCCAAGTCATTTGCTTTCTTGTTATAGGTATGCATGTTAACAAGGCTCTTTACACATTCAGTTACATGTGTGTTACTGCTGGCGCTGCTGGCTTTCTCTTTGCTGGAATCTATCTACTGGTAGATCAATGAATCTTTTTGATATCTATTTTAAGTTTTCTGATTTACTTATGGTATCTCTTCCATAGCCATTTAGATTCAATTACAAAAGTTTGTTTTTCATCTAACTGCTATGGAGGAAAAACACAAATTTTGTCTCATTTCCTCAACTTCTAAAGTGAAGAAACTTTCAAACAGGTTGACATCTGTGGATATCGACGCACAACATTGGTGTTGGAGTGGATGGGGAAGCATGCATTGATAATTTACATCCTTGCAGCCTGCAATATCATGCCAATTATTATACAGGGGTTCTATTGGAAGCAGCCCCAAAATAACATTGTGGGTTTTTTGACCTTCCTCTTGAGATTTTCTGGTCGTCTAATTTCATGAGTTTATCATTTTGACTACTCTACTAGATATTGCAGCCTTATAGATCCTTGTTTGAACTTGTCCCTACCAGCTTAGCTTTTTTTGGAATTGGAACATGATTTGTTGCAATTCGTGGAAATATAGGCTACTTCTTTTCCCAACTGAAGGCTCTCTCTCTGTCTCTGTCTCTCTCTTTCTCTCTCTCTCTCTCTCTATATATATATATATATATATATAGAGAGAGAGAGAGAGAGAGAGATTATGCAGGAGCAAAAGGATACAAAATATGTTTGTATATCAAAAGCAGAGCAGTTGCTGAGCTTTCTACTTTCATATATTTTTGGAAAACTGGATATTATTATTATTATTATTATTCATGTTATCTCAACTATATATATCTCAGTTTAGCCAAAAAAGAAAATATATATTTATTAAAATCAATTATTAGAAAAATATGTAAAATTTTTTTTAGTTTTACATTGTGTAAGTAGATCCCTTAGGATCAACTTATGTAAAACTTTTTAAGTTTTATATTTTTTTAAAATTTTTAATTTTAATAGATCCAAAGGATGAAAAATAAATAAAAATTTAAAATATGATTTAATTTCATTCATTTAATTTTATTCGTTGGATTTATTGAAATTAATAGTTAAAAAATATATAAAACTAAAAAATTTTTACATTATATAAATAGTTCCCTCCTCATATACATACATATATATATATATATATATATATGTACATATGAAGGCAGAATGCTTATTTCTTTCTACGAGGTACGTTAATCTGCATAACGAGATTATCATTTTGGCATGTCCTGGTCTTTATTCAGGAACCAAGTCAACTGGGTGGACATGGGGCTCCGTTCTTGTGCATTTCTTGTTTTTGTTTTTAATAAAAAAGAAAAAGAAAAAAAAAGAAAAAATAATTTAAAACCAAAGATAAATAGCTAAAGGCAAAATAAAGAACGTCTACCAGTGGGGGTATCATTTATGACCAATTTTTTTTGTCAATATTATAACCATATGTAACACTGACCTCCTTTAACTCTTTCTTTTAGTATATATTAGAATTAGACTCGTGTTTTATTGGAAAATTATTTTTTATTTTTAAATTATGTTTTAAATATGAGGAAATTAAAATTTTGATGCTAAGTTTTAATGGCTGATGATATATAGATAAATATAAGTATACTTTTTAAAAAATAAATACTAAAATTATTTTAAAAAATATAAACATAAATTAAAGGCAAATATAAATACATATTCTTTTCGACTTTGCTAGAGTAGCTCTCGTTTTATCACCGTGATTATTCCCTCATTGTTTTTGGAGAGAGTTGTGAGAGAATGGGAGTGTTTAAAAATGGAGATGAGAAAGAATGAAGTTAAAAAAAGGAGAGTAGCATGTAAAGAAAAATGATAAAGAAAAAAGTATGTGAAAAAGAAAAAAAAAATGAAATAAAGAATAAAAGACATTTGGTAAGATATCAAGATTAAGACGTAACACTTAAATTTAACTTTTACCCGATCTTGATTTAAAAAAAAAAAATTCAATTATCCTTAATTTAAAAAAAACACATAAATTGAATAATTATGTATTGATATCTATCGAATACAAATTATTTTGTCATTTTTATCTTAATTGATTTTTTTATTACAAATTTATTTAATAAAAAATAAAAGTAAATAAATAAATAAAGGAAACAAAAAAAATTAAAAGCTTAAAAATAAGAAATGAAAAAAAAAAAGAAGAGAGGTGACGTGTAAACACCCAAGATAGGGAAGTATATCTTAACCCTATCTTTGATTTGACTCAATTTTCAAAAAAACAAATCTTGACTTGATCATTGAATTTTTTTAAAAAGCACTTATATTGGATTGATACGAATCGAAATCAATCAGATACAATGATTGTTTTATTATTTATACCTCATTTGATATATATATTTTTTACAAAATTTATCTAATAAAAATAAATTTAAAAAACAAATAAAAAAGTAAAAAGTAAAAAATAGATTTAATAAAAAATAAAATAAAGACAAAATGTAGATTTTTGAAGAAAATGAGAAGTGTCACGTGGACACCTTTTTTTTCCCATTCTTTACAAAATTAAATATATAGATATAAAATTTAAAAATAAAAAAAAAGATATTTTTATTTATACTCACATCAGGATGAAATATCCTAAACTTATCTCTAATTTGACCTCAGTTTTCAAAACTAGAAAAGAACCTAAATCCAATATTAATTTTTTAAAAAAATACACCAATTAGATTGAGACAAAATCAAAGCTTATATCTCTATTAACTTTTTTTATATATAAAATTTATTTAATAAAAAGTAAAATAAAAAATTTAAATGAAAAAATAAAAAAATATGTAGCTTTCGAAAGAAAAGCAATGTGCCATGTGGACACTCTTACGTTCAATTTCTACAACTTTAAGTATATAGATATAATGGCTAAAAAAGTGTAAATTAAAATGTTTTATACTAATGTATGTAGATTCCTTTTCGTATAAATATATATATATATATATATATAAAAGAGGATTCATTTATATTAACATAACTTTTATATTTTTTTAAAAAAATAAAATTAAAAAAACAAATAAAAAAGTTAAAAGTAAAAGAAATTAGATTTAATAAAAAATAAAATAAAAAACAAAATGTAGATTTTTGGAGAAAGGTAGAGGTGCCACGTGGACACCCTCTCATTTTCTCATTTATTGGATTATGGGATCTAACGATCTTTTTTAGGGACTTAGTATGTCGATTAATCTGGGTGAAGTATCCCATGGTCGATCAAATTTTGATGTATGACAACCCAACTTACAGAGGCCCAATGGGTGAGGTACTTAAGAAGGCTTTACGAAGTCCTTTATGTCCAATGGGTGAGATTTCCAAGAAGGCTTTGCGAAGCCCTTTATGTCCACCTGTCACTTAGTACGAGGCTTTGCATTATCAAAAAGAATAAAGAAATAGAGTTATGCTTTCACTATAAGCTATAGCTTTTGGTGTAGTGGTAGGTGTTTTTTCTTGAAAATTGGTTTTTAGCATTGAATTAATCCTTATTTTGAAATGACAAAACATTAAGCTAAATAAGCTTAATCAAAATTTTGAAAAAGATTTACTTAGTACATGTTCTTAAGTTTTATATTTTGGTACTAAATAAATAATATAATTTTCAAAGTTTAAACAAACCTTTCTTTATGTTTTCTTATTTCTCAAATCAAAAGTATCTTTAAACATTTTTTTTATTTGAGCTTAAATTAAAGTTTAATTGTTGTCTTTAAAGTGAATTTATTCATTTCGGACTCAATATAGTTTTGATAATATTGGTTTTGAGAAATAGATTAACTTAAGAAAGTTACTTTACAAGAACAAAGTTTTTTAACATTGAACTTGTTTTATTTTTCTATTCATTCACAAAGCTTTAATATTTGAATTTTATATGGTTGGAAAGCTCTTTGAGTCTACTTTCTAATGGATAAAACAAAATCAAAATCCAATTTTTTTAAGAAAAGATTTTAAATTTTTACTAGACATTTTTTAGTTGTCTAAAAACTATAGAAGTGATAATTTTGAAAATTCACTATAATTCGTATACAATGAATTATGTGATAAATTTTATATAGATAGAAAGCCCTTTAAGTCTAGTTTCTAAATCTTCAAATTGTTTATGATTTGAAATTCTATAACTCAAGATATGATCAAATTAGTGAGTAGAGTGTAAAATATGAGACAACCATCCAGCTTTGATAAAATCAATCCCCTCAGGAAAGGGATCGATTGATTTTTTTTTTTTTATCCAGAATACATCTTTTTACTCCAAGTTAAAGAAGGGATCAATCCCCATATGTAGGAGATCAATCACCCATTTGACAGGATTGATCCCCTACATGAAGAGATAGATTGGGTTGTGTTTTTCAAGTGCAAAATGGCTTATCAAAATGAGAACCAATCAATCCCCTCAGGGAAGGGATCAATTGAGTCGTGCATTTGCAAGGTGTGAAATGGCTTCCAAAACTTGAACCAATTGATCCCTTTAGGGAAAGGATCGATCAGGTCTTCTCAGAATTACTCAAACGGCTAGTTTTCATGCTTCCAACAGGCATTTCTTCTTCCAAACCATCCCTAATGGCTAGTTCTTTAATTTCTTTATATATTGGTCACTCTAACACACCACAAAGATTGATGAATCAAGAGAGTAAGAATCAATAAGCTATATTTTTATTCTCTCAAAAAAATCAAGATTTTTAGAGCTTTAAAGTCTATATCTTTGTATTTATTGTATCAAAATCATATTTGTTATTCATTCATCATTTTCTTATACTAAAACTTAGCAGACACTTAGCCTTAGAGAGATTGTTTTATTGTTTGCAAAATTACCTTTAATATACAAGGGTATAAGAGAACAAGAGGTGAGGTATCCTCTTGAGAGCTTTGTAATAAGATTGGGTCAAATACTAGAAAGGGTAAAGGTTTCTATCTTAAGCCTTAAGAGAAAAAGATAAGGTTGTATTTTCAATTCAAGATTAGTGGATTGAAGTCTTGGTGTGGACAACCAAGAAGAGATGATGTAAGTGCCTTGTGGAGAAAGATTGAACCTTTATAAATCTTTGTGTTTGATTTCTTTATCCCTATCTCTTTATTTTCATTGTTGATTATATATACTTATAGATACATCAATTTATTGTTATTTGTATCATATTTTGATATTAGTTTTAATTTCATTCAATTATTTTAAAATTATTTCTTGGGAAGAACTTGGAGAAATCCAATTCACCCATAATCTTGGTTCACCATCTCACCTAAAAAGCTAATTGTTAACCTTGCATTGATCTTTATTTTGAAATGAAAAAATAGTAAGCTAAATAAGATTGATCAAGATTTTGAAAAAGATTTATTTAGTACATGTTCTTAAGTTTTATATTATGGTACTAAAAAAATAATATGTTTTTCAAAGTGTAAACAAACAATTCTTTGTTTTCATATTTCTCAAACCAAATCTATCTTTTAAAGATTATTTATTTGAGCTTAAATGAAAGTCCAATTATTTTTTTTAAAGTGAACTTATTCATTTTGGACAAAATACAATTTTGATAATATTGGTTTTGAGAAATTGATTAACTTAAGAAAATTGTTTTACAAGAACAAATATTTCCAACATTGAACTTGTTTAATTTTTTTGTATTAATTAACAAAGTTTTAATATTT